ACACTTCAGTTACTTAACATGAAAAAATGCTTCTGTGCACCACCCTCTTCTATGCACACAGCTAATTTTTACATTTGTGACTCTACTATCTGAAATCATTCCTGTTATTTTTGTACCTGCATATAATCTAAAAAAGACACAACTGTACCACATAAAATGAAAACTCTGTAAAGTATATTTGGTTGGCAAAAGATAATTCCAAAGACAGCCAGACACCACAGAAATGACATTAGTTTGACATTAAAAGTCATTATGGTTTTGGCTTGACATAAAGTCAAAGGAAAATTTAGCTCAAACCAATATTCAAGTGTTACTTCGTCTACTCATCTATACTATCTATCCATATCCTTTACATGAAGCAAACGCAATCTGTGTAACTTACTAATTTACCAACAACCTCTGGTTTAAACTTTTCCTGTGTTCTGCATAGTTCCATCATGACCTATCTTTGAAGTGGCCTGGGCCACACATAGGTCTTTTGTGCATAGGGGGTGTATGTCACACAGTAGGACCACGTGGAAGGGTTACGGTGTGTTCCGTTGTGTGCAGCCGTCACATGGGGTGTGCCACTGTGCACTGGACAGAGTCAGAGTCAGCCTCCCCATTCTCCTCTTTTTCCAATGAGGTCTGATGCCTTTCAACACGGCCTGACATTCCAACCTAGGTGGCCATGGTGGCTTCATGCAGTCATCATTGCACTTGACTTTATTAAATGTCATCTACTGAATTGAACCAGGAAGAACCACAGTGCTGTGGTGACCGTCTGAGGTATCTTCCCCCAGACAAGTATGGAGGGCAGGGACTTTGCAGTAAGCACAGCTGTACTCTATCCAGCTGCCTGGGCCGACCCCGATGCCGTGGTGAAGGGACAATGAGAGTGAAGGCAGTACAGACAAAAGGTGGAGCGGCACCAGGCACTCAGGTAGTCCCGCACCTGGAGGGAAGAGTATGCACGCTGGCCATACCCTGCCCAGTGCTCTCTGAAAGGCAAGGCTAATAAGCAGAGCCCACCAGATACAGAACTATTCTCATTTCAGGCAATCTACCTCCCACAACACTCTCCTGAGAAGACACACAGGACCCAAATCCATTCTGTACAATGGACTTCTTCATCCCTGAGTGTTAAGGTGAACAGAACTTTAAGCCACTACCTCACCAGACACATTTTGCAAGTAAGGAACCTAAGGTTTGGGCACATTGAGCAACTCTTCCTTTGCCCCACAGCTGAACCAGCCATTCAGCAGCTCGGGGAGAGAAGCCGACTGTCCTGACTGCTGGTTCAAACCTCTTTCTCATGATTTCAGTCTCTCTAAAGTTGACCAAATAAGGGTGAGATACTTCATAAGACAGCTTTTAAAAACACAAAGAAACTGCAGGCAGCCCAAGATTATGCAAAATATAAGTACAGTGATTTACTAATTCTTAAGCAGAAGCACAGTAAAGTCAGCCAACGCGGCCCAATTGTGGAGATGGTGTGTTTTGTGACTAACTCCCACGACGAGGGGAAGGCGAGTTCGGGGGTAGGGGGAGAGGACACAGGACACAATGAAAACAAGGGTCTGGCTCTATCCCATCATAGGCACTGCCTCAGCCCCACTGTCCTGACAAGATGGCAGCTTGGCAGCATGCTTGCGACCCCTACCCCCTACCTCCTCCCCACAGGGACTCCCCCTTGCCTGTCCACCAGCTCAGATTCAGGCTACAGCCCCAGATCCCAAAGTCAAGCACATTTCACCCAGAGAAGCACTGAAAGTCCATTAAGCACAGCCTTTAGGGCCTTGGTACAGTATCTACTGTGCTGAGCCACGTACTGACACTATCCTCATTTATAGACAAAGAAACCAGGAGGCACTAGTTCACCCAGAATTGAACTCACAAGGAGGGAAGGGCATCAGGGGCTCTGTCTCCTGGCCCATGCTCTCACAGATCTGTGAATTCTGGGTTTCGGTCTCAAATGTGTCCTCCAGTCACTCAGGGCAGCACAGCAGGGCTACAGGAACATTTGTTTTTGCATCAGGCAGATCCACTGGTTTCTCATCTGCCGCTTACCTTCTGCTTAGGTTACGTACATTATTTAAACAACAAACATCAGTCTCTGCACCTATTTAATGGTAATGTAGCCTTGGCTGGTGTGGCTCAGTGGACTGAACACCAGCCTATGAACCAAAGAGTCACCGATTGGATTCCCAGTCAGGGCACATGCCTGGGTTGCGGGCCAGGTCCCCAGTAAGGGGCGCTTGAGAGGCACATTGATGTTTTTCTCTCTCTCTTTCTCCTTCCCTTCCCTTCTCTAAAAATAAATAAATAAAATCTTAAAAGAAAGTTTAATGGTAAAGTAAGAGATGCATGATGCCTGGCACATAGGTGCTAAATCTTAGCTACTTTCCCCTTATAATTCAAAGTGAATTCAAATTATACTAGAAAAAGTTATTTTTTATTTAAGTTGACAAGAGTCTGTTGTTATAGAGAAAGAAGACACAGTTGTGGACAGGAATAAAATGAGGAGGACTTCTTTTTCTCCACTCTTTTCCAAACTCACTGCAAGATTCTCACAACCCTTAAGACTAAAACTGGCAAGAACAGTAAGTAATCAAAGGAATCTCCAATGACTGGACTGTGATTATTCCTTAAGCCTAACAAAAATTATATTTTTCTGAAGAGAAAAAATAAAAATGCCAGCACAGAAGTCCTTACTTAACATCATTGATAAGTTTTGCCACTTCAAGTGAAATGACATGCAATGAAACTGATTTTACCACAGGCTGATTGATATAAACAAAAGTGATATTCCAAGGGCATCTCATCACCATGATAATAGGAATGGAATTTGAGGACTTGCTATAGTGTTCATTTCCTTACCAATCTACGCTCACCGCCCCAATTGGAAATTTCCATAGTGTGTAAGACAAATGCTACTCTAAGGATGCTTTTCAAAGGTTGGGAGCATGCTGTCACATGACCTTCTTTTCTGACTGTTAATGGAGATGTCAAGGGAGCAGAGGTTGCTCTGAGGCATAAGAAGGGGGACATTTTGGGGTCCTGGGTGTGAAGAAGTGCATCCCAAGGACCCTGGTAGCCCAAGCTCAGAGCACAGTCATGAGGAGCTAAAGGCCTGATGCTGGCTGAGAAATTGTGAAGGAAAAGAGACACACTTCCTACTCCTCTTCAGTACAGCTTTATTATTTTACTTAAAGAAGTATTTTTTTGCTAAGAAACTGCGTAAGTTGCAAGAAGCACAAATTCTAACACATTTCCACTTTACTAACAGAAAGGCAATGGTTTCTCCAAGCCACACACTGGGGACAGGAACTAATCACAGAAGCACCAAGGACCTGACTGGTGGCTAATCCAGGAAACATTTTCCCTCTGAGCTAGTCCTACTCAACTATGCAAGTGAAGGAAACTTCCCCTAATTACCTGTCAGAAATGTAACTGACCACTCAAGCGTTAGCACCTTACACACAGGTAGCCATTTACAGGTGAGAGTGCTTCTACACCAGCACCTCATCTCATCTTAGCTGCCATACTTCAGAGAGTGGAGCAGTGAGCAGTCACTGCTGTTTCTCATTTCACAGGTGAGGACGCCTCTGGTGGAAAAGCATATTCAAGAGGTCAAGTGAGTAGACCAAGGTCAGAGGGCTAGTGTGACAAGGCTGTATATTCTGACTGAACTCCAGATTCAGGGCTTCTGAAGCTACAAACAAACTCTCAAGGCACCCCAGGAGCTTACACTTGATAACTTAAGACACACCTGTAACTAGGAATGGAAAAACTATTTTTTACAAAACAAAGCCAGGAAAACAATATTTTCCTAATCAATCAGCAACTATCACATCCAAAATAAATTTATGAGGCAAGTTTTAGTTTCTGAAATATACTAAATTACCTTATACTTACATCTTAAGCACTAACATCAAAATTCTTTACCAAAAAATTAGTAAGGCCATGATTTCAGAAGCCAGTCCTCAGCTGAGAATGAGACAGAGAAAAGCAAGTTTAATCACATACATTTAACAGAGATCTGTAAAATGGGTTCTCTGTTAGCATCTAAACTATTTCTTTTTAAAACTATCGGGATCATCTAATAAATTTAAAAGACCATTTCCTAAGGAGCTAAATTCAAGTGTTTTCATGCAAAACTCACTGGAAATTTACATTATATTTGCTATCTACCAAAGTGCTACAAACTTTGACCTGAAACAAAAAAGATGTTAAGAGCAATTCATTTGTACAATTAAGGAAAAGCAAAATACTGGGAAAAAAAAAAGCAGATAAAAGAAAACAATGAAGAACTAGCATATCAGGAGCAAAATTGACACATGGTTTTCTTATTATTTTGGTAGGGACCCCAGAAAAGCTCTAATATTCTCAGTCACCCCAGAATACCATGATAAACAAGCTGCTGTTCTTTTAAATCAGGCCACAAATGTTTTTACTACCTGCTACCCTACGAGAGAGACTTTCCAAGGCACAGAAACCTTGTCTTGAAGCCTTGAATAACTTTTGAGCCTAGAATACTTAAGCAGAAGGTGAAGAGGCCAAGTCAGACCCCGGGGGATATTTTTGGTGTCTTATCAATCTTCCCCCAAATGAGCTAATGTTTAGAAACTTCCCCCAAATGAGTCTCTAAAGCCCATTCTTTTGTTGTATTTCCACCATCTGACATCCGGCAAAGACACCACAGGTATTTTCTCTCTCCATTTCCAAACTATTGTGTGCTGTACAAAATAGCCTAAATTATCAATGATTCTTTAGGGGCGGGGGGTAACCTTCAGGAATCGATTGTACTTGCTCCAAGAAAGGATACTTACTGCCTCTTATAGCATAGTTTAAATATAGGAAAAAGCAGCCTATTTGGAGAAGAAAAAGGGCACGTCCCCTCCAAGAGTGCCACCCCAAATGTGGGACAATTTCGGGGGTGGGTGATCCTGATGGAGCTGCAGTGGAGGCCCGAAGGTGAACACAGGGCACACCCTGGGAAGGGGCTGGGGCCCCCGTACCTTTTCCGCGAGGCCCAGAGCTGCTGGCGCTGCTGCTCCCCCCGGCGCCTGACGAGTCCTTCCTGAGCCTTTTGCTTTGTGGCCTCACGCTGGACCGTAGGAAGTGGTGCTGGTCCTGGGGGCAGGAGGGCGGTGGGGACGGGGCCTGTGGGCCGCCCTCGGGGGCCGGGGGGCCGCCGCCTCGGGGGGTCTTGCTGTCCCTCTTTGTGCCACCGCTGTCTTCGGCCGCGTCCCCACCACCGGCCCCCTCTCCCTCCAGTGCGTCCTCATCGGCTGCCCTCTTGCCCAGCCTCTTGAGCCCTTCCTCCCCGCCGCCGCCGTCTCCCAACTTCACTGTCATCCTGCGGGAGAGGAGAGGGGCCCTGGTGAGGCAGGCACAGCCTGAAGCCGCTGCGAAGTTTAGCCGCCCGCCTCCCTCTCAACATGGCCGCCGTTGTTTGTTCCAGGTCCTCCCACGGCCCGCCCGCTGCCAGCCGGCCGAGTCAGCCACCCCGAACCCCGAACCCTAGCCCAGGCCCCCCACCCAGACCCCGTGGCCTAGGACACGGAGGCGCCAGGGGAGGCGGGCGGCAGCTCGGGGGCCGCGCCCAGACGGCCATGCCCGCAAGGCGCCCCAACCCGTCGGGGTCGAAAGAGATCCAGGGCCCAAAGGGACCCGGGCCCGGGATTCGAGGTTCGCTTCTTGGGTCCCAGCGTCGCAGCCCGAAGCCACTTACCCAGCGGGGCGCAGTTCACGACCTGCGAGGCGAGCAGCCTGCGCGTCGGCCTCGCTCCCTGGGCTGCCTGGGCCGGCCGGGCCTCGGCACCCTCGCCCCCCGACTCCACCCCTTCTCGACCTCGAAAAGGCGCGTGGCACCTGGCCAGCGCACCTGCCCCGCACGCCGGCCCCCAAAGTTGGCTCCAGAGCGGTGAGAGGGGCCCGGATCCACCCTGGCAGGGGAGAGGCGCGGGCTCACCTGCGTTCACAGAGAACTCCGTAGTGGCCCGCGGCTGCCTGTCTGCCTGCTTATTTTTAAACAGACATAAAGAAAAACAAGCTCAGGGTTTCTGGGAATCTTGCTTCCCAGGGTGGGAGATGTGTGCCGCAGCGGAGATTTACGAAATTAAAATGTTTTTTGGTTTTGTTTTGTTTTGTTGGCAACAAAGGAGCCTGTTGCATGGAACAGGTTGGATCCACCCATGAAAGGGGCAGCCCAGTTACGTCCAGGTCCAAATGCAAGAATGGGTAGAACAGAATTGTGTTAAAACTCTTAGTATCCACTAATAAAATGCTTGCATTAACTTTGTTCCCCACAACTGTGTGAAATGTCAACAACAAAATGTGATGACTGAAAATGCAGCCCAAGAAGCAGACCTACTCAAAAATAAGCGGAGATAATCAGGCACCTATCCACAGTATAAGCCCAGAAACAGTAATGTGTACATGTGATGTAGCAAGAAAGAGAAATGTTAGATTCCTCAACAGGTGTTGACGCTATGCCCAAACTGTGTTTGACCAGCTCAACACAACTGAGGACAGGAACATTACCATTCCATTAAAAAGAAAACGAGCACAAGGCATCCAGGCTAATAATATAGAGTAACAAGGGCGAGCAAGGACCTTTCATAGAAAGGTTTGCAAATGAGTAAAACTTAGAGTAATACCTACTACTGCTCTCATGTATTCTGTCACAAAAAAAAATCTCCAGTTTTCATCTGTTGTATATGTCATTTGAATTCACTGTAGTTAAAACAAAACAAGACAAAACACTGCCAAGGAACAGAATCACACCGGACAAACACCCAAACTTAAAGAACTTCTCACTATTCATGTCTCAACCTACCCATTTCTACTTAAGAAAGCTGAATGTATATCAAAGAACCCTTTTCTGGTGTATCACGTGGAGAACCCCACTTCCCAGGGGCCTATCATCCCAAAGCTACCCACAGTCAAGCCAGGACTCAGGCAAAGCATTCATCAGCCACAGCAGAATAATTTGCCCCTTTGTCAGATTGAATGTTAAGACACTGAATTAAACATAGAAGGATACGGCTTTTCAGAATTAAAAGGATATCGATACATTTCAGAATTTTCCTCTAAGGTTGAGGGGAAACACGAAAATGGATACCTCTTACTAACACTTCCAACATTACTTCTAGAACGTGCGCAGAGGTGGAATCGCCTCAACCCCAATCTCCGCTCGACGCCGTTTGTCACGTTTCATTTAGGAAAAAGCAAAACTCTCTTTTGGGGCCGATTTCTGGCTGCACACAAAGCGCGCTGTCAACACAACAATTTTCGCTCCCCAAGCAGCTCCGACAAAGCACCGTGAGCGTAACCACAGCTGCAAGGACGCAGGCCGCTCTCCCGCAGTTCCGATCCAGCGGGGAGCTCGGCCTTGCCACAAGAGCCGGTCGAGGTGGCCTACCCCTTTCGAACTTCAGCCTCTGGTTACCTTTTTCATCAATGGCTCTCAGCACCCAGGCTTCCCCGGCCCCCGGGGGCCTACCCGGCGCCCTCAGATCCGGCCGGGCGGGGCAGCCCCGGGCCCGGAGCGCCGGCTGCACCGAGTCTGCGACGCTGGTGTGGTGCTCCCACTTTGGAAACAGTCACTGGGTGACGCTCACCCCGGCACGTCCCCTCCGCAGCCGGGGTACGGCTGACTGGGCTGCGGGAGCCAGTACCGCCGCCCCTCAGCCTCCCAGAGACCCGACCAGCCGCGCTCAGCAGTTCCGGCTACGGCGGCCGGCTGAGACCGCAGGGGCGGAGCGCGGGGCGGGACACGGTAGGCGGGCGCGCGGAACGGGGAGGGGCAACGCGCGCGGGGACGAGCACGTCCGAAATTTTCAGCGGGAGCTCCCTTCAAGAGCTCTCCTATTGGCCAGTTGCAGGCGCGCGCGCTGGCACGCCCAGACGCTAAGTAGGGGCGGGAGGGTAGTCTACGACGCGAGTAATGTTGTGACACCGCCTCGAGACTTTGCGGTTGGTGCGTCTCTCCGGATTGGTGAATCGACAGCCAATAGTTTCAGTGCCCTAGCTGTGATTGGTCAGGGCAATATGACGGATGCGTGAGAAGAAAACACCGCCTCAGCTCAGAGTGTTGAATCCGGCGCGAAAGAAAAAGTATAGAAGTGCAACTGAGGCGCTTAAACGCACGCTTTCTTAGGTTGAGTGTGTGCTTTTGAAGACTGGGCGTAATGGATGGTGCTGGACATTTAGGCCCTTTTCCTTAATTCTAGTATTTATGTGTGTGTGGGGGGGGTAAGAGTGATGGTGTTTAAGGATGCAAACTTGGTAGGGAGTAGTAAATAAGCCATAGAGATCAAATGCACAATATAATGAATACAGACATGGCTGTACCGCAATTGGTAATGTGATAAATAAGCTATATGGACAATCATATTACAGTATATAAATGTATCAAAGCAACATCACTGTATACCTTAAGTTTACACAATATTACAAGTCAAATTTATTCCTTAAAAATTATTTATGAAAGTGGGTTTTTTAAAAACAATCTTCCTTGTAGGCTCCTATCCCGACTCATCCAGTGGTGCCTACATTTTCTTCTAAATTTTTTCAGTTGTTTAACAATGAACCTTTTTGCTCTAGTGACTTTATTTTTTTTAATGATCTGACATTGCTTTGTTTTTCAAAGTTAGTTTACCCCTGACCGTTAAGGTCAGAGCGCACGTTGTTAATGCCTTTAGGAATGCAGTCTGCCCCCCAAATCAGGTTGGTTTCTAATGGACGGGATGAACCCGTGTCGTTGGCTAGCATTTTCTCGCCAAAGACATCCATCCATATGGCCCCAAAAGCATTGAACGCAAGCGATCAATTATCTAGTAACTTCAAGGAAGTATATCGAATCAATTGCCTTTTCTCAGAATACTCTTGAACCACCACCTCTTCCTTGAGGTCAGACGAAGCGGAGCCTAGAAACGGTCTTGAGTAAAGAAGACCTCACAATAAGTTTAACAAGAGAGTACTCTCGAAGAAGATGGCGTTCCGTTTCTCCCCCACAGTCTCTGCTGCCTTCCTTCACCCTCTGACAGACTGACGCGGTTGGAAAACTGTAACTACCGCAGCAGGTTCCGACAGACTTTGCATCGCCGTCACCCCTGGAATTTCGCCAGTTCCCTTCTCTGCGCACAACGGCATACTCAGGCCTCTTGGTCCTCTTTTCCTATCTAGCATTGCTGATTATAGACAAGCTGGGATAGGGAAAAACTATCCCGCGAGACCGTGGAACTCGCCGCGGGAGGGAACCCGCGGGGGAATCTAGTCCTCCGAGCAGCACGACTGTTCCCGATCGTTTTCGGTTCTTTCCGGCCTCTCGTGGAGCTTCGGGGAGCCTCGGCGTCTGTGTCGCTAACCTCGGCTGTTTCCGCTTTCGGCTAGCACCCGTTGTCCTGGCAACGCGCGGCGGCGCTGTGGTCCTGGAGAGGTGAGAGCAGCCTATGGAAAGGGCACCGGGGGGCCGAGGGTGAGGGGTCGGGGAAGTGAGAGGTCTGGGAACCGGGAGCCTGAGGATGATGATGATGAAGTGGGTTCGAGGCGGGGCTCGGGTGGTGCTGCGGCTGTGGGGCTGGGAGGAGGGCTAAGTCCAGGCGCTAGACCGGGTCCAGCGGCCTCCCAAGTTATTTCATCCGGAAATCCGGTGTTGGCGGGTCTCCCGCGGCCCCCGGCGGGTCAAGGCTATAAAGTGAGGGCCACCTCAGGCACAGTTCAGATCCTACTAAAGGCTGCGTGGTCGTGCGAGCCTTGGAGGTGTTGACTAGGTAGATTAGTGGGGTACGCTGGGAGAGCACTCGGTATCTAAGGGCGGGGAGAAAATAAGAAACCACCTTTCTGCCAGCCGCACCGACCCAACCAGGGAAGGCTTTCCCTCCTGTGCCGGAGATGTAGCTCTGACCTCGCCGGTCCCCAGGCCTGGGGCCTGTAGCCTGGAGGGTGAGACTTTACCAAGTGGCCACTAGCGCCTGACCCCCACCCCTGCCCGCTCAACCCGTTTCTCCAATTATTTCCGATTCCCTTGTGCAGCATCTCCAAACAGAAAAGCAACTTGAATTAGCCTTAGTACCGCAAACCCCTCGGTTGAACGATTCCCAAAAGTTGGTTTAATAGAGGCAGTAGAGATGTTGGATGGTTGGAGCCAAGAGGAGTAAGTTGATTAGAACAAATAAAACTTCTTTCTTCCCCCAAAGTTTATATATATTTACCGAATGCTTTAATGTTCCAGTGACCCTGAGTTTGTTTTAAGGAAAAGAAATTCACTTGTTTCTGAACTGATGCTATTAGTAGATGTTATTGGTAATGATTTTATTAGTCATTTCTCCTTCTGTTTACTCTGGTAACTACTTTTGTAATTATGCAGGTGATACTTATTCACTGTAGGAAAATGTTAAAATTCAGATATAAATGGCCCTGGCTGGCATAGCTCACTGGATTGAGCGCAGGCTGCGAACCAAAGTGTCGCAGGTTCGATTCCCAGTCAGGGTACATGCCTGGGTTGCAGGCCATGACCCCCAGCAACCACACATTGATGTTTCTCTCTCTCTCTCTCTATCTCCCTTCCCTTCCCTCTCTAAAAATAAATAAATAAAATCTTTAAAAAAATTCAGATGTAAGGAATGATAATCATACATAGCATAAAAAGGGACTCATTCTCTCTGGCTTGTAACCCAATTTTTACAGCTAACAGAACATCTTTCCTTGCTAAAAAGTATCTTCATCACTTATTGGGGCCTGTTCTGTGCAAGGCATTGTTCTGGGGCCTGAGGATGCTCCAGCAGTTTCCCACCCTGTGGGGCAGATAATCCGGTAGGGAGTGGAGGGTGGTCGGTCAAGTACACATGCAGCGACGGAGAACTACAGGGTTCTATGGAGACACTGGGCAGAAGCACCAAACAACCTAGAAGTTAAGTCCCAGAGCTCCCAGGAGGACGGGAGGTTTCCTGAGTACCCAGAGGAAGGATGTGGGGAAGAGAGCCCTGGAAAAGCCTCAGGCAGGAGGAAATGAGTAACAGAAAGATCCGTTAGCATACATGCTTATGACAAAGTGATGTTTGAAGTAAAAAATTCAGAGAAAATCTGGTTTAAATATTTCAAGTGCTATTATAATTTTTTCCCCATCATTACAAGTTAGGTAACTTTTCTCATTTTGCAGAGGAATACTTTCATGAAGTAAACTTGTTAAATATGAATATGAATTTCCCATAGTCCAGAATTTAGACACTTGTTTGGCTGCAACATGTTAAAACCCACTTTAAAAGGTTTCCTTTGCTATATTAAATCACCAGGTGTTTATCTAGTGTGTTTTCATTTTTTTTTATTTTAGTCATTGTTCGAGTACAGTTTTCTCCCTTTTACGTATTTTCATTTTTAATGGCTTTGTAGTTTTGCATAGGACTTTGTACTCAAAGAAATTAGAGCCCTGACTAATATAGGTGTCCCCCAAGAGAGCAGTTCCCAACTTTTCCAGCAACCAGGGACCAGTGTCATGGAAGACAGGTGTGGGGGAGAGGGGATGAAGACAGTAGGCAGAGCTCAGGCAAGCTTCCCTTGCATCCCGGTTCCTAACAAGCCATGGACCAGTACTGGTCTGTGGCCCAGGGACTGGGGACCCCTGCCCTAAGTGATGTGTGTGTGCAGGAGACCCATAGATCTTGTCCTTCCCCTGACTCCAGTCCCCACAACCCAGCCAGTGCCTGGCTGCTCCCACAGGATCCCTGAATGAGTGCTGGGCAGTTTGTGATGGTAAGAGCACAACTTCAAAAATTGTGCCTTTGTTTAGTATTCAGGTATATACTCACAAGAAGAAGGTAAACATTTGAAATGTGACAGTTCATTTGTATCCACATGCTTTCCAGCTTCCCTGAAGGGATTTCCTTCTCTGAATCCACACCGAGCTTTTGTGACTTCCTCTGATACAACTATTGTATTACTCAGCCAATAGCATAGTCCATTCCCTACCATGATAGAATAATAGAATTTTGCAGGTGTTGAATAGTTTTTTTACACTATTTTTTGTTGTGACTAAAAATGCATAATACAAAATTTATCATTTTAACTATTTTACGTATAAAGTTCAATGGCATTAAGTACATTCATCTTGTACAACCATCACCACCATCATCTCCAGAACTTCTTTCATCTTCCCTAACTGAAACCCTGTATACATTAAACAACTGCCCCCCACCTCATCCTCCAAGCTCCAGTGAGCATCAATCTACTCTCTGAATTTGACTATTGTAGGTGTCTCATATAAGTGGAATCATACAAGTACATTATTTGTGCTTTTGTATGTGGCTTATTTCACTCAGCATAATGTCTTCTAGGTCCATGCATGCTGTGATGTGTCAGAATCTCATTCCTTTTTTTTAATCTTTACCCAGGGACATGCTTATTGATTTTTGAGAGAGGGGGAAGTAGGGAGAGAGAGAGAGGGAGAGAAACATCAATTGGTTGCCTCTTGTATGCGTCCCTACTGGGGATCGAACCCACAGCCTAGGCATGTGCCCCGACCAGGAATAGAACCAACAACCTTTCAGTTTTTGAGATGACACTCCAACCAACTGAGCCACATTGGCCAGGGCAGAATGTCATCCCTTTTAAAGGCTGAATAATATTCCATTATATGCATATATAATATCACATTTTGTTCATTCATTCATCCATTGATAGGCATTTACATTGTCTCCACCTTTTGGCTACTGTGAATAATGCTGCTAT